GCTCGTCTTGATCAAGCAATTGTGGTACATGTCATGCGCACGGTAAACATTTGTCTCCCTATTGAGTATCAAAACAATCAGAAACACGTCAGTATGTGCCTACCTCCGGGCAACCCGGACGGTCGACGATGTCAGTGATGACAATTTCTCTATGTTCATGAACTCGAGTACGAGATAAGCAGGAGATCTAGAGCTGGTGAGAACTGAAAGGGATGAGCAGAGGGAACAGAGACACTGGGTCGAGATCTGGATGACGGTTACGAGAACATACGGATGACGTGCGACGAGTCGGACAAGTGAGGCTGTAAGGGCGCCACTTGACCTGCAGCTGAACAACCACTGAGAAATTCAGTACATCGCCGGAAACTGCTTGACGATGACGAGCGAGCCTTGGACGCCGCCAGCCGTATCCACGCATGTACCGAGCCAATGTGTCGATCACGTGATCCCCCGAGGGGAGTCGGAATGTGGCGCTTGGCGCCACTTTACTTACGTTTGGAGATGTCGCGGATCCTTCGTATTGCCTCGTTCGGAATACGGAACTTATGCTTTCACTGAAGTGATTTCCTCGCAGATTCCACATTCTCATAACCTGCGCATTCGCATGCTGAGTAAGTACAAATCTATGACACACGGACATTCCCGAGTTCCAAGTGCAATGTACTCCGCCGGTTTCCGACACAAGGTCGCAGATACACAGCTTGCGACAGACTAGATATCCGGAACGATGATGCAGACTAACGGGCGACTGGTCCGTGTTGAGGTTGAGGACGTGATGGCCCTGCGACAGGCGGTGCCTCGACGGGTGGTTGAGGTTGACGGGAGATCGGTCGGGGTTGAGGTCGAGGACGCGATGGCCCTGTGACAGGCGGTGCCTCGACGGGTGGTTGAGGTTGACGGGAGATCGGTCGGGGTTGAGGTCGAGAACGCGATGGCCCTGCGACAGGCGGTGCCTCTATGGGTGGTTGAGTCTGACGGGAGACTGGTCGGATTTGAGGTCGGGAAAGCGATGGCCCTGCGAGAGGCTTCGTCTCTGCTCGCGGAATAGACATACCCTGACCAACAGACGACAAAGCCGCCGGTCGTTGACTCATGAATCCCTGCTGTATGCGATCAGGCTCATCCTCCTGTATAGCACCTAAAGCGGGAACCACACGGCGAGGGACAGATGCGCGTCCGGTGCGATAGACATCATGTTCGAGATTCAAGCTCGACGTGTGGTAATCGTCGCGATCCTCAAATTGGCTTGGAGCGCGAGGTCCATCTTGGAAATACATGTCGGGCTCGAAGGTCCTCATGGAAGCCGTGGAAGACCGATCCAGTCCATACTGGCGAGTTGACTGGACGGACGTGGGAGGCACCATAGGTTGAGCATACATTGTGTGGCGATCAACAAGGATAGCATCCTGTGCGGGTGTTGAGACTGCGTCGGCAGCGAATGCTGAATGGTCCGGCAAAGAGCCGCGATCGTCGACGGCCAGTCTGGTGCTCATACGAGACGCGGTACGGTCAAGCATGGGAGGGGCATACACGATGGAGCTGCCGTGGTTACCGTCTGCTCTGCTACTTGCGCGGGAACTAGCCCGGTCCATCACAGGAGCGGCATACGGGGTAGGGGCACCATCATCCGTGTCCATTGAGCCGCTCGCTCGTGAAGTAGCATGGCCAGTTTCGGGACCGGCATATGTCGAGGGCGTGCCGTATCTCGCGTTCTGCCTCTCGCGCGATTGGAACGAAATGCCGTTGGGGATGGGAGCTGCGTACGTTGGCTCACGTGTGTGGGTCGCTCGAGTGTCAGGCAAGGGAGTGACATAGTGACTTGCCGCTGATCTTCCCGTGGTGGTGACCGGGCGCGATGCGCCGCTTCCCGGTCTTGAGAAGACGGCGCGTGACATATCGATGTTCTCTGGAATAGGGTCGGGAGGCCAGTCACGATACTGGTCCGGGTTTGTGAAGCCAGTAGGGCGGCGAGGGCTTGGAGGTGCAGGTTCGAATGGCGAGTTCATGCGCGTGTTGCTTGGATCGTAGTCGTTTCCGGACTCCTGAATTATACCGTGAGTCCGCCGGTCGACATGATGACAGTACGGAGATAGCATACCTGCCATTGTGTCGATGCCATCTGACCGTTGTCGTCCTCAATCGTCAACCACGGATCATCGAAATCTTGGGTGTAACCAGTTACGTTGTCGGCGTCTAAGTGCGTCTCGATGGTCTGGTACGGAGGGACGACTGCGCTGGGATGAGAATACGGTGCTACGGAAGGCTGCCGATAGTTCGAGTTTGGTGCCACCGACGATGTTCGAGGGTTTGTGGCTAATGCGGCAGTGTTTGAGCGAGACGAGGAGACCAGGGTGGACTCCGTGCTGCCTGCAGCAGAGGTCGAGCGTTGGTTGCTCGGGTCTTTGCAAGTGGGGATGCGACACTTTTGTCCGCTCTCGCTGGCACCAGCGGGAGTCGCATCTTGGGCCTGCCCGGACGCGACTGCAAGGTCATGTTGGTATCGTGCCGTTGATGAGACTCGCCACTTCACGCCTTGCTTGAAGTGGCCATACATGATGATGCTCGTCCCGTTAGGTACAACATTTTCCTCGTTATGCAGCCATGTGAGGATGAGCGGCACGTCTTTCTGTTTATCTAACGGCAATGCTGACTCCTCTGCGGTGTAGACGTAAGCAGGGAGATCGAGAGAAAATGTCATGCGAACGACCAACCTTCGCTCCACGGCACGATGTCAAATTTGATGCCATCGGGATCGTTCTCTACCCACGGCGCAATCATCTGTGAGACGACGGGGCCATTTCCGGGCGCCTTCAGGTCGAATTCGATGGTTCGGCTCTTGCAAATCGTGTAGTTCGAGTCAGGATGCATATCGATGATACGCAATTTATTTGTGTATAGGAGCTCCAAGATTGCCGCCCAAAGTTTGTATTTCACTGTCTCCACATTCGCCAGTTCTGTATGAGGGGATTATGTTAACAATGGGATCACTTGAAAAAGCGTCAGACGAAACACTCACTGAACTTCCACTTGATTAACTCAGTAAGTACACGATTGCGATAGTCACGACCAGCCTCGTTCGGTTTCTGTACAGGAAGCTGGGGACGGCGCGCGGAAGAGGTTTGTGAAGGAGTGCCGGATACGGACGGTATCGTGATGCCCTTATTCGTGAGGTCAATACCCCTGTACCAGGAGCTGTCAGGAGGTATTCTAAACGAGGTCGCGAACAGCTTACATGAGGCGCGCTTGATACGCAGCGATGTTTGCTAAATGATCGGTCTCGTATTCTTTCTGCATTTGCATTACTTGCGGCGAGTTTCTGAACATGAGACCGGTGCCACCGGGACGAATGTTGAGGATATATCCGACGACATGTAATCCTTTTGTTTTGAACAGGTGACGACCCTGTCCGCGGATTAGTTGGAGCAGACAGTAACGTGACGGGATTACTTACTAGCTTCGTCATTTCCGAGGCAGCCTGTCGAAGGTCCTTCTCTGCACCTCCCTTCTTCGCCGCCTTCTCTGACGCAAGGTCCATGTAATCGATGTACCAGTCGATATACGGCCTGAACGCCTCCTCGCGTTTAGCTTTATCATCCTTCGGTATACCCTTTGTAACCGCGTAATAGTCCTCCTGCCGTCGTCGCGCGTACTCTTGCTCAGTCTCTGTGACTGCAATCAATAAACTATCAACTCTTGAAGACATGGGTATTACCTTTGTCGCCGCGGCCATGCGTTTGTGAGTGATACGTCTCAAAGCAGGACCAGGTGTTGAGCTCGACCAGGTGTTGAGCTCGCAATGACGCGAGATTTTTGGCACTAGCACCATGTCTGCAATAACCGCGACCGGTTTGTCCGCTGCTTTCGCTATCTCGTTGATGAACTCATCGATCCGCTCGATTTCAGCCTCAATCATAGCTTGATGCTTCTTGCTCAGCGGGCCTGGCTTCGGTTTGGAGTCTGGGTCTGAGATTAAATTAGTATCATGTACAGCAATGCTGTTGCAACGTCTTCTGACCTATGGCCTTCCCCTTCCATTTGTCGCATATCTCGGCTCGGCCTTCTCTATCACGGCTCTGACCTTGACCTTATCAAGATATCAATACACAGCTGTGAAGCAACAAGAAAATAGTCGCACCAGTTGGTTGCGGCTTCGAGATTTTCGCTCCCGACTTCGTAGTAGATACCGCTGACATGTCTAACGGAGGATAAGTACATTTGCATTTATCGATGAAGTATCGCACACCTTTCGCTTTCCCCTTTCCTATATCACTTGAAAGGGCATGTGCCGTATCTCGATTACTCGCAATGGTTGTCCTGTCTCCTTTACTTGCACCGGCTACAATATAGGTCAGTACATGTCACCCCTCAGTGAGATGCGTCGCCATACCTTTGCGTCGAGGTATACTGGCTTTCGCTTGGGATTTGTCCATGCCTCCTGCTGCAGGATCGATTGTGATGGCTTCATCCGATGACGAACCAGCGGGGGCTAATCATAGATAAACATGCCGAAACAATAGTGTAGGCCGTGCAACGTACGCTCCATATCCGCCTTCCGCGCTGAGGCTGCATGCGACTTGTCATTGATCTTGGCGCATGCAGTGCGCTTTGCGTCCCCTGCGGAACGACCTGGCGAAGATATCAGCGCGTGAGCGAACTCGTGATAGAAATTATATAAGTTACCTTTCGGCCGATTCATCTTGACGGTAGCCCCGCCCTTCAACGGAGCCTTAACCGTTGGTGTATCGACATCCATGGCGTCATCATCCATCGCAAGTTGATCCTCAATACCATGGAAATAAGAATCTGGACGTCTTGAGTCCGGCGCTCATTCATGTGACAATCATTAACTCGCCTTCATCATTGTTGCTGCTGGAATCCGACGTGGTCGTCGTGACGCCAGCCTTGCTTCGTTCTCTAGCATGGTCGCGACGAGTGCGAGCTTTGGCAAGGTCTTCGGCTGATGGCTCCGACAGTGTTTCTGAAGAAGATGTCAATGATCCGGCAACGAAGAAAGATTACACCATCATACCATATCCGACAGCGGAAGCTTTGCGCTTGGGCGTCTTTGTCTCAGAGGATTTTGTCGACTTCAATTCGCCAGGTGCGGATTTTGAGGATGTATCATTGCTGTGTGATCCTAGAGAACGATGCGCAAGTTGGTTATAGTTACAATATATTCAGAATCCTACCTTTACGGTGCGGGGGTTGGGTGATTTTGCGCTTGACCTTCCTTTTGCGCCGATCCTGATCAGAATCCACCACCTCCTGCTCGAGTTCCATGTCGTCCTCGTCGTCCTGCTCCTCGATGGTCGTTTCCTTACGACGAGCGGTGTCGGAGTGAGTATCTGGGTCTGCCAGCACGAAATCATCGCTAGATGGTGGATCTTCATCGCTGTCCTGCATAAGCTGGTTCATCTTCCAGGATGGACGTCGCGTACGCCCCGAGGTCCGCCGTGCTGATGTGACTGAGCCGGTGGCATCTTCTCCTTGATCCGAGTTTTTGTCGTCATCATCTTGTGCATCCTCTACATCTCCAATCGGCTCCGCCTCCTCTTCCTCAGATTCGTCCATCGTGCGCTCCGCGTCGTCCTCGCCGCCGATGTGAGATTCGTACTTGTTGGCGGCATCTCGGTCCACTTCCTCGTCCTCCTCGTCCTCGTCCTCGTCATCTTCCTCCTCCTCGTCTTCCTCATCTTCCTCCTCGTCCTCTCTGTCTCCCTCCTCATCTTCTTTGTCTCCCTCCTCGGCCTCGTCCTCCCTTCCCTTGTCTTCGCTCGGGGGTGCGTCTAATCCGTTACCAGATTGCTCCCTACCGCGATCTTCTCCCACCTCCTCATTATTGTTCGTCGAGAGCATATCATAGTCTTCGTCTTCGCCAGATCCTGCAGAACCCTGTTTGGCCCGGCCGTCACCCCCGGCGGTGTCGTCTACCACACGATCAGGCTCCACATCGCCGGCATCATCGCTGCGGACAGGCTCTATATTGAATTCAGTAGGCTGGCGCCTACGAGGATCGTTGCCGCTAATAGGATCATTGTCTTCGTCATTGGCCGATGTCTGACCTCCAATTGACGTGACGTTTGGATTGCCCGCGTTGAACGTCCCATCAATGACCCTCGCATTAATTGTTGCAAGGAGACCAGAGTCCGCTATCACCGCAGCAGCAGCGGAAGACGAGAGAAAGTGTAGCGGCTGGATCGGCTGACAGTCCGGGCCGAGGGCAGTCGCGGCCATGATAGGACTGGTAGGCGGATACTGTGCGTAGATGCTGGAATTGACGATGGGAGGGGACTTGACGCCAGGAGGAATGTCGAGCAAGGGGTGCTGCTCGGTGGATCCGATGTCACCGCTGTGAAAGTCCTGCTCCGGCTGAAGGCAAGACATCAGTAACCGGATGTTAGACTTATATCGCTGACCAGCGTACCAATGCAGGGGAAGACCGCGGATTTTCGCCGTTTGAATCGGTGATCGGCAACTCATGCACGGGCGACCACTCTCTGCCAGTCGATCCAGTAACATCAGGTTCCTTATCAATTGCGACGTCCTTCGAAGCGCCCTTAGCAGTCTTCTGTTGCGTATGATCAGCCGGAGGCTCAATCCGTTCTTCGGAACAGGCTTACTCGAACTGGTGCACGCGAGGAGGTAGAGTGTGCCTTCTTTGGGGCCTGGGCACGGGTTTGCTCACCCGTATCGTCTAAAGGCTGTGGCGTGTCCCGTGAGCTTGCTTCCGCTCAGAATATGGCAAAGACAACATACCCTGGTCCTCCTCAGGCGAGACTTCGACGGCGAAACGAGCATCGCAGATTCAGCGACTGTACGATTCGCTCGGGGCTATATACCGGCAACATTAACAGATGTTTGCCCGCGAGAAAGGAAAAGATATCCTACCCTCAATCCACTGCGGCGTCCTGGCGGCTGCGCTTCCGCGTCCTCGCCTCCTCGCTGGTATGCATGTGTAAGCAACATGGAACGGATCACACAAGTACACTCACAGCATCTTCTATAACATCATGAGCAGGGTTGGTCACTACGCTTCTGGTCTACAACCCAGATTATGAAACAGTACACAAAGCGGGGAATCCACTAACATGCATCGTCGCTAGTGAATGCTTCTGATGGATGCGTTGCGATCTATAACTGCAGGTCGGGTCGGTGTGAGGGCCTAATGGGGAATCCACAATGGTCGCAGACGAACCTTGAACTCCCGGTATGTGAGGAAGACGAAGTCACAGTGTGCTTTCCGTCGGTATAAGTTGTCATTCCCGAGCGGAACTCGCGCATGTGTCATTCAAACTTACCAACGAGCCCATCATGCACACGCCACCGCCGAACAGTCACACGGGCGCCATGCTTCTCAAGCTGAGCATGAGGAAGATCCCATCGGACGCTAATCTGATCTGTGGGATCTTATCAAACATTGATATGATACGGCGCTTAAACGTACCAACTTTGATGCCTCTTTCTCGTCAACTGAAATCCAATATTTGGGTTGACCTCAAAATCGGCGAGGTCCCGCAGCTCGGCTCACCTCAAGTTTCAGCTGTATCGCCCGTTGTAATTGGCTGTGCACGCATGGACGACCGCATTCGTAACTTGCAAGTCCGGCCGGCTACACGCCGACATCGCATGGACCAACTTCACGATCTTTTACATGTACGAAGTGTTAAGGTGAGACAATCTTTCGTACTCATACTTTATGCTGCTCACGTACACAGGCGCATGCTTTAGCATTCGGTATATTGGCCAGCGCTTTACAGGACAGCGATACCATCGACATAGATCGTGTCTGTCCCGTCGTTCGTCAGCATCTTGGCTACTATCATCATGAACGACGGTTATTTGCCTTACCACTTGAGAATTATCTTCATTCTGTATTCGTCCCTGGCGGAGTTCATCTATGGCGTGGTGTGGATGAGGCAGTAAGTGCGATCACGCTGCATTTCGTCGATGACGAGGGCTGATCTCTGGCGATAGACGATTTGGAAAATTTTCAGGACATTGTACGACGTCTGGTCGAATGACGCACTCGATCTGGACGTATCGCCTCACCCAGTGGTTCGAGATGAGCTATCGCCGCTGCATGGCTCCGACGTTAACCGATTGATGGAGGAAACGTCTTCGGCGGACGTTCACGAACCATACGATCCCCTGGTAGGAAACCCGTGGTTCTTGGAGTGGCGGAGCCGACGCGAAGAGGTGAACCCTCCACATCGTATTCTTCGGGTCTGTTGTTCACGCGAGATAAGGCCCAGCAGTTAGCGGTCGCCGTACGGAGCCTAACTCCGTTAACCGTCTTCGAATGTGAACCTATCGTGGACTACCACATGGGGAATTTCCATCGTCTGCATTTCGCGTGCGGAGTTACCGCTTACATGTACGTTCAACGTGTACTCTGGCTTGGAGAGGTGCCCATGCCTAGCCATGGACCAATGAGCAACAAGGTGCACCAATTTATCAAAAGCGTGAGTTGTACCTTACATACCACACCAGCGTTTCCTGCGGAGCTTCATCAAGCTTTATGAACGATGGTCGGGAATCGTAGTGAGCGCCACTGAGGCACCGCCCTCGGTTACCGATCGCATATCCCTGCCGTCGCATGTCGATCTCCACTCGCTGTGGGATCGCCGAGGTAACGGTGAAGGTCCGTTGTACTGGGGAACAGAAAGCTCACCTCTCGATGAAGACGTTGATGACGCGTTGAAGACTGAGGCGCTTGTGGACATCGGGGTCGCTTGATTAGGAAGTAGATCTAATGTTTATGAGTATGATGTGTGCAACACTATCCATCAGCTTGTCCTTTCGTTCCGATCGAACACTAGAATGTAGCGTTCAGTCGCGCTGGATTTGTATAAACAATTTCTGGCAGAAATGAAGAGAAACACATCCGCGGTGATGTTGCAAACCGTTAGCATGCTCTGAGTCCGGAGTATCACGCCGCCGGCGTACCTCGTAAACTTCATTGGAGGTCCACCGATCATCTTGAGGCACGACAATGATGTGAGGCGACTGCGCTCCGCGTGGTGCTATGTCAAGCCGTCGTCCGACACTCGGTCGGCGTGGATGCACTCCTCCTCCAAAATTGCGATTGGATAATGTGTTATCTGTGATCGTTTCGGGCTGCATCGGTGTTCCATCACCGTGCTTGCGACTGCAAGAGGGAAGAATCACCTACCTTCGAGCGATCGAGTTGCGCCACGAGCTCCTGTGCTAGGACCTTAGGCGGGCGCAATCCGGTTGATCCGTTAGCCAGCTGCCATCAGGGAGTCGGAAAGCATGGAAGCACGCCACGGAAGTTCCGGGAGAGATGTGCTAGACGTGTTCGTCGCGAGCTTTGTTGTGATCCATCAGCAGGTCTACTCAACGAGATGGAGATGTTGCCTACCTACGTGTGATCGAATTGCGGCACAAGCTCCTGTACTGGAATGCGAGGCAGGCGCAATTCAGTCGGTGTGATAGCCAGTTTCCATTTATGAGTTAGGAGCCGGAGCAGAGATAGTGCTAGACATTGGGGCAAAAGTTTCATCGTCAGTTTGTCTTCGATCGCGCCGAGAGCAGACTTGTCTGCATACCGCAGTTTCTCATCCTGGGACGGTCTCATGCCAACTGCGCTATCCAACAGTCCTGACATATATCCTGCTCCCGAAGTCTTGTCGTTGAGATTGCGCTTCCAACGACGTCTGAGAAGGGTTGAGGTAAACACCACCTCAATCTCATAAGCTCTTCAACTCACATTGAACAGACCAGCATTTTCATTTCGTTGCTCACCCATGAGGATCGATGTGGTAACCAATATGAGCGAAGCACGGTCTTGACGCAGCATCTAGTGTTTTGCCATCGCGAGCGTAGAATGTTCGGAACGTCACCACAAACTTACCTCGAATATCTTTTGGCAAGTGTCGGATTCGGTGTCGGCTTCGAGGGAGATATGGAGGTGCGCTTTCCCCAACGAGATGACATGAGTTGCATCATTTTTGACATGCACAGCCCGTCGTAGAGAGATTTCAGGAGCTGTACAAGAAATGGAGCGGAGAAGACGCTAACCTAGACGAAAATACAGTTCCCTCGATGGATATGCTCTTCAAGCGACCCACTACGGATGACCGTGCTCGCTTCATGCCCGCAAGCGGGAACGATCCGAGTCCTGGGCATACTTGGGAGGTGGCAAATCCGTTCATCTTCTTCTGGGACGTTCGCGGCATTGAGGTGCGAGCCTGCGTACAGCTACCCGTGGCAGTATAACGAATGCTTCTTATTTCAGGCGGAAGAGGTTCGGCTTTGGCTGGAAAAGCCAGAGCAACACCTACGCAAAGGGGCAACGCTATCAATCGCTTCCCATATTATGAACTACGAGCGCCTACACGAGTTGCGCGGAATGGGTGCTCGTGAGTATTTATGCCACGTCTTCGCGAACGGGGGACTGTCGGATCACCTATTCGAAGATCTAAGCTACTGGAATGTAAGCGAGCCTGCAATCCTCTTGCGTAGCACCACTAACATTGTGCTCACAGCAACTTGCAAGCACGTTCCGTTATCTCTGTGGAAAATGGCGCAATGGCGGATTTTGCGACCAGGACACCTGAATGCAGATAGAAGAGGAGTGGAGATTAGACATAGATTATGCCCGCTATACATAATATATTACATTTCGAAAAAATGTTTCTAAACACGCACAATGCTCCATGTAAGCGTTTCCGCACGAAGATAGACGATGTCGAGGAACGCACGATCGGGCATGCGTCGTTTGAATTGAGGCTTCATACTAGCATTCTCCTGCAATCCCGTCCATGTATGAGTGGTTCGTTTTCCGTTGCAGCACGTTTTCTAACAAAGGAGCTGAGGCCACCGATGTCGGGGATCAGAGTAAGTGTGGGCGCCAATATGGACACAGCCCCGGCGACACAAACTTAATCTCTCATCCTGCGCATTACAACCCGCTATCGCGGCGCTCATGTAACTTCATTTGATTTCGATCTGATACCGATGATATACTGTGCATTGCAATGCCCAAAATTCTTCTGGAGAACGATGGTTTTTAAGGAGCGGAGGAACAGTCGATCGGCACATGCAGTGTAATGGCCCCGGTGAAGTACATTCATGCAATCTAGCACATTCCCCGCGTTTTACTGCCTCTGCTCCGGCTGACTCCAACCATACTCGCATAAATTCTATCCGAGAACATATCGTACGGAGACTCACGGATCACGGTGTGTGAACATCCAGTTGTAGAATGCTTGAACATCCTCCGAGGATTGTACAAGCACAGGGTATTCACATAAGCGGTATCTGACTGTTCTCGAGATAGATATTCGCAAGCAGAGTGGCGAGCTGATTTTGTTATGCTTTCATGGTCCCAGTCAAACACACTCGCGCACTTCAGCTCGTTCCTCGTACCTACGTCCTGCTAGATTCTTTGCAAGTCGTATCGATTTCTACTGACAGATGATTGTCCAGAAAATCGAGGGTAATACAAGGTGAGCATGGATTGCGCAATGCATCGAATATGCTCTGAAGAATCATGGGAGCACAGCCCGATTACTTTGAATGGTACCTGCTCGTGCATACAGAAATGTAGAGCTCACGAGGTTGACTGCATGTCAAATCCTTTGTCGTTAACGCAACATCGGACTGGTGATGCTTAAAAAATCCTTGTGGGGTAGGTAAGTCTTCCCGCCTTTTATTATCTCGGTATGTAGTTGCATAGCGGCCAACGTCAGAGGGTGTCAGCGTCCATGGGAACTCATACCACTTATGTCGAACGTACTATAGCACGCGGACTACGCTGGGCAACGTTCAGTTCTCGACCGCGGATGCGATGAATGCAGCACACGTATATTCCTGCAGATCATCATGCACGCGGGTGAAATTCAATTCGCCCGCGTTAGTGCTCAGGCTCAGCAGGTCGGCCATCCATTCATAGGGCGTGACATCCCGTTGCACTCCAACCTCTTATTCTCATGCTCACCTGTACGCAGACATTCCGGGCCGATATGAGTCTTTAATGTGAGTAGCTATATTCTGGAATTGCTGCAAGTGACCATGCACAATGCATCGTCATCCAAGGGAAGTTGTATCACTCACGTTGAGCGTATAATAGCACACGGACTATGCAAACTGGATATTGGACTTCTGTAGCACATCGGACAAGCCAATTCCCCGGTGCGACATTCAGTTCTCGATCGCGGATATGAAGATTGCGCCGCACTTATATTCGGAACCTGCAGATAATCAAGCAAGCTCGGTGGCGTTCAACCGGCCCATGTTAGTGCTCAGGTTCAGCGGATAGATCGGCCACGCATTTATAGGCCGTGACATTGTGTCGTATTTGCAAAAATGGGTGACAAGACATGTTCCACTCTTCTACTACGAACGAATCATGTTCTGACTGTTATATTACTCCGCGCTCCAACCTCTTAGCCACATGCTCACCTGTACGTGGACATTCCGAGCTAATACGAGTCTTCGATGTGAGTCGCTAGATCCCGAAGTTGCTCTAGGTGATCCTTCAAGAACGACTTGCTGGGGTGCCGCTGGATGAGCTCCTGCTTGATGAGCATGTTGCTGTACCGCAGCAGCTCGATTTCCGCGCGCAGGGTGTTGAGCTCGACAAGAACCTCAAGGAGTGAAGCCTTCTCCGCATCCAGTAGTTCGCATCGACTGCATGTTCCTGTGAGATAGGATTGATTCATGATCTCATCATTGAACCTTTGTATACACTCACGAGCACGAAGGGGCTCGGCCGCTACACAGACTTTATGCCGCCTGGGATGATTGTCTGGGCTCGAAGCCTGCGGCTGCGTCTCCGTCTCCATCTCCGGTGAATGGGCTGTCATGAAGTACTGTAGGTAAATGATTCAGTCGCCCACACCGTTCACTCATATACTGCGCAACCTACAGAGGGACGAGGTATTTTATTTGGACGTTATTGAGCTCGCGCCTGGTCAGTATCACGCTGGGGGGAGTCAAGGTGAGGAGAGCGCGTGCTCGTCATGCGAGTCGTGCTCCCACTCTCCCAAACAGGCTAGCATGGGAATAATGATTCCGTATCGTGCCGCATTGTGTGCCTTGCGTGCAGAAAAATAACCAACGACAACCAAACAGCAATCAACATAGCGGCACGTTCTCAAACGAAGGACGGCGGGTCAACGGCGCATAATCATGATTCCCCGCCGCAGAGTGATCACAGTATATCTACTGACTACACATGAATACGAGGGACAGCAGAGACAACGCCACGAGCACAGGAATCCTCGTAGTACTCGCGTGCAGCTACCTCCGATTTGAACTTCTTGTAGTTCTGACCGGGACATTTGAACGTCAACGACTGTGCAAGAGCGCTTCGCAAATACCTTCAGAACGACGCTTCACAGAGACGAGCCCAGACTCACAGGGAATCGAAGACGCCAGTATCGTATCCGCGAGTCACAACATACCAAGACATGTCTAACGAGCCGTCACTGACAGAGCCGCTAGTGGAGGCCCCATTAGAAGCGACAGCAGAAATGAGGGTGGCAGGAGCAATGCCATGCGCGGCCGTGGGAGCCTCCGCCGCCGTCTCCGCATCCGCGGCAGAGTCGGGCATATCGGCATGGCCCTTGCGGTCCTCGGGAGCGTCAGTGCCCGAAGTGCCCGAAGGCACCTCGGAGGGGCGAGCGCGCGTGTAGAAGACGTCGTTCTGAGTGTGATACAATGGGACGTGTTCATCGGCAAAGTGGATGTTCAAGGGAACTGAAGGAAATAGCTTAGTAAACAAGCAAACGAAGTACTTCATGTGTGATAGACTCACTACCGAAGCACAAGTAGTGCGCCGCGCTCATCAACTGCGCAAACGCCTGCTCCTTCCGGGCATAGTCGGTCGCGCCGTCTGCGGGCATGGAGCTCTACGTCGAGGAAACGTTAGCGCAAGTACAAGTCGAAACATGGCTACGAACACCGTTGTTATGCGTCTGCGTCGTCTCTTGGGCCATGGGTAGCTAACGTTTGGAAGAGGGGAAGACATGAGTTATGTTGTGTATGGGGAGAGTGATTGTCAGACGTACTACGAGTACTCAAGACGAAGGAGACGTGCCCTTGGAAGCAAGACGAGCCCCGCCTTTTATGCACGAGTCGAGCCTTCGACGGATGTTTCCGAATCACGTCACCGTCAAATCAAGTTGTCTTTCCGCATCTTTCCTGCGGAGTTTGTGCCTTTCGGCTAAGTCAGGTCTTCATCTCAAATATGTGCAAATATGCCCGGGAGATCATACCTCAGCGAGATTCTTTCCATCAGAAGCAGGTGAGATGGACAGAGATCAATCTCGTGGGCCGTTCCAAACCCGTTGTCGGCTCGCGTTCAGGGTGTGTCCCAGGGCGGCGCGGGCGGCCAAGCCCGCACAACATGAAATCTAGGGTCTCCCGACGATCGGCTGCGCCATAGAGGGTTACTGCGCGCTCCCTTCGCTTCGTCCGTAGATCCAGGTATCACCTCTAGATCGGGTGCAGCATGGTGCGTATCGTTGCTCGTCAACCCGTTGTTGGCTCACGTTGCGGATGTGTCCCAGGGCGGCGGGCCTCAAGCGGGGGGGGCAACGGGTCTCCCGACGATTGACTGCGCCAGGGTGGATGCACAGTAGAGGGTTACCGCGCGCTCCCTTAACTTCGTCCGTAGATCCAGGTATCACCTCTAGATCGGGTGCGGCACGGTGCGTATCGTTGCTCGTCAACCCGTTGTCGGCTCACGTTGCGGATGTGTCCCAAGGCGGCGGGCCTCAAGCGGGGGGGGCAACGGGTCTCCCGACGATTGACTGCGCCATAGAGGGTTACCGCGCGCTCCCTTAATTTCGTCCGTAGATCCAGGTATCACCTCTAGCAGTGCGTATCGTTGCTCGTCCTGAGAAATCGACGTGGTTCGGGAACCTATCATCTAAGTTTGGCATGCGGTCGTGGTAGAGCAGAGCTTGGATGCTCCGTGTTTGCATAGCTGCTGTAGTCGAATGGACTGCCGTTGATGGGTCAAGCTTGAAGGAGGAACACGTGCAGGGTGGCAGTCCTCATCACGTGCTGCTCCCGACAAGGAGGCAACGCGAAGCGAGGCACCTGTCAAGCTGGTACTAGTCTCCGTATATGTATCCTAGATTGCTGCCCCAAGTCTATACCCTCAAGATGAGTTTTAACTACAGAGAGTTCGCTGGATGAGATATAGGGAACGCTAACATTGTTGTGATTTCAGGCTACGTTGTCGGAGTTATTTGTCCCTGCGTACGCACCAGATGGACCAGAGAGAGCATACCTCAAGCAATCTTGATTGATGTATGCGTTATCGAGATCTCACTGGGCACTGGAACAGGAGTGTCGATGTTCATGCGGAAGTCGGGGCGGCGATCAGTTCCCGGCTCAGAGTTAATATTTCTCACAGAGATCGAGAGCTCATGCGACGGTGCGCGGTTTACCGTCCGTTTGGACGACATTTCATCACGATGGAGATCTTCACCAGGTCCTCAGAACAAGCGTGATTCTCCATCTGATGGGGTAATATTAGGTGATTCACCTGTTCTCGTTGATCTCTTCTAATCTACTAATTGAAGCGATGTTTTGACGTCGGGAAATAGGGTGCGCAAAGCCGGCGCTTGTGGGTAACCATGAGCGGACCCACCTGACTTAGAGTGCCACACCATCAATGCGCCCAATTCTGGCAACGGATCCTGCCGTCGCGGCTGACTGGCTAACAAAATTTTGCTCCGCATGGGCTGATGGAGGAATACCTTAAGCAAATCTTGTTTGATGTCTACGCGTTCCCTGGGATACTGGATTGTACTCGGTAACAGTGTGACTTTCACCCTCCCAACCGAGACTGAGAGCTCACGACATGTCGGTTTCCAGATCGCGTGGATGATACTTCTCCAGTATTAAGATATACGCCTGATTCCCAAATAAGCGCAATTGTCCACCTGGTCTGCGTGATCTGGCTCAGTTCTCGGACCTCCGCCATGATGCGCCCATTGAGATGATGTTTCGGTCCGGTCACATGTCTGCCTGCTCATGCAAGGACGATAACGACAATTCGAAGTCCCGTCCTTGGCCTTCGAGTATCATTGGCGCATTCACATCTACCTGTTCGTGTGAATACACCTTTGTCGACCGCCCTCAGGCCGCGCTCTACGTTGTCGTGTAATGGGCAAGAAGAGGAGAATACCGAAGAGTGTTCTTAGGTCCAATGACCGGCCATTGCGCGGCCCAAACCCCGTGCACGATGGGCCTACCATTTCCACACAAGGATCACTCCCTTCTTGGTCCTCACGCAAGGAGTCGCAAGCGGCGCCTTTCATGGTTTTTCCCGGAGGAAGGACTTTGACTCAACTCCCTACCGCACATACGAGGGGACGACGGTCGGCTATCGACGATGGTGACCCCGCTATTAGCAATGATCCTCCTTCGGGTCTTGACGATCCCGACCCATTTCCCTCTCCTCTCGTACTTCCGGTCGACGGCGACCACGTTCCGCCAAAAAACTATAAGGAACGGTATGCCCGAAAGAAGCTCAATCAGTGGGCGCGGTGGAAGAATGTCACAGTCCCCGAGTTGATCAACTTGTGTATGGATTATCTCGCCGCAACCGCGAACCTGAGACTCGACACACCATTGCCTCTCGTCTGCACCTGCAGAGGTGCAAGTAAAGATATGCAGATTACCGCCGTATATACAGATCGTGAGTTACCTTGCGCCAGTCAATTTGCATTCCTAACGCAGCTTCCAGACCTCGAATACCTAAATCTCACGACATGCTCATGCATTTCCGCTGCTCAGCGGCTGATGAGTATTGGATTGTTTCCGAGTGCACCCCAGGTGCCATCCCTTGCTTTCGATCTCAATATGCTTGAACTGGTATCGACACTGTTCCTGCATACGGCGCCAAACGTGACAGCATGGGCCACCACGCTGGAAACGTTCCTTGGCATCAGGGCCTACAAATTGACGACACGGGTAAGTACGCGATCGCGTCCGTTGGGGACGGCTTGTGTTGACAAACCACGCATTAGGACTCCATTCGACGACGATTTGGCAATGCCCTACGTTGGTATAATTATCTCGTGGATTGCGTGAGCAAGAAGATCGACCAAACACTAGAAGTATCTCGGCAGGAAGCGCTGAAACAGCGCGAAGACGAGCATGTTGGCGGTAAGGCCTAAACACATGCAGGGTGTCTGAGAGCTTACTCGTCAGTAGATACCTATTCGAGGGTTCCTACGTTGCATGAGGCGCTTGAGCGAGTCCCAAACGCTGCCATTGGTCTTAATCCCACCCCCAGCCGCTCAACGGATACGACCTCTACAACCAGTAATGGCACGGCCTTTCCCGTATATGATACTGTCTTTGGAGGACCCGCTCCTGCTTCCTATGCCACTGAAGCTCCAGACGCGCAATCCACGCGAGCTCCGGACGCGCAATCCAGCGCCATGAATCGACAACCCGGAATCGATACGCAGCCTCTCCGCCATTTGAGATTACATCCCACGGCGGCTCCAGATGGCGGGGCTCAGACCGCGGACCTTCCCCATATCAGCTTTGAGGACAAGTGTCCCTCAAAAGAAACGGCCTCTGGCCCTATTAACTCAAATGGCAGTCATGTCGACGAGAGCACGCGTCCCAGCTCGTATCTTCGATCCAGGTGCATTTTGTGCTTTGCGGGGAGAGATGGACACGACTCATCAATGCCGTAAGCTGTTTCGCTCGAGCTCCTGTGAGATCATAGAGGCTAACATCCGTTCAGCGTCGATGTGGTTGTCTGCCTTGACGCGTGCTTCTCACAAAAGAGATGTGCTGAGCGTGTGCGTACCAATGCAACAGAGGGATCAGGGATTCCCTCCACCCGACGAGCCGAACGGGGGGAAAGGCGAGATCCGGTCAAGATGCATCCTTCGTCAGTGTTTCTCTCGGAAGAGGAAGTGCAGAGTATGGAGGCGGAGGTCGACTATCGACGACAGAAGACGCGTCGCAGTGATAATCGTCAGTCACAAGCATCCAGCAAGTCTACCAGTTTGACGTCATCTCCGAGCAAGCGAAAAAACCGAGAATTTGCGGAGCCGGAATCCGCTATCGACGAGTGTGAAGGCCCCCTACGGGTACCAAATTCTGTGCTCGATGGGTGCGAGTCATCGTTCAAAGCCGCCGACGAGGAGCGGGAGAAGGCAAGCACTCAATTCTTCGACGACACCGGTTTGATGGCGTTAATGTGCCGTCATGATCGCGTACTGTGGCTGGCCAACATGTCGACCCCCGGAGAACGCCAACATTACCCGCTCGCACTTCTTAAGAAGCTATTTCAAAACCTGCCCGTAACGTGGACTGTGGGCGTCCTTTACGACATCGGTTGTCAGCTCCACAGAAGCTGCTACAAGTGGGGTTTTCTGCCCGAGTATCGCGAGCGTATCCGTTTTGGAATCTCCGTCTTCCACGCATACGGTCATCAGTGGCCCTGTCAAGTTATCTATCATCCCCGCAAATGCGTCGGTTTTGGCTTCACGGACGGCGAAAGTTGTGAACGCTTCTGGAGCTTGATCGCCCACCTCGTCGCCGTACTCAGAGTCTGTGGTGTGAGCTTCAAGGTATCATATGTGTGATACTTTGTGACTGACAACTCTGTAGTATCATCAACGGCTCTATATTCTCGATTCCCAAATCCATCATTTAGACTCAGTGCACCGTCTATCGCTCGCGGATTGGCTTGCGAAGAAATTCACTACTTGCCAAGAGCGACTGGCGGCAGCTCAAGAGGAGCTCACGCGGTGTAACGTCGGCATCGAGGCACTACGGTGCGAATGGGATGCGCAGCAAGCATCTCAGACAAAACCCTTAGAACGTACGTCAATGGTTACGCGTATCCAGCATGAGGTACTCATTCAGCGACAGGCCAGCGACAGAATGCAGCTGACAAAGATATTGATCACATCCTCAATCTCGAGCAGATCATCCGAATCCTCGAAAAGCAAATGAAGCAGCTTGAGACGTCCATATTGGCTGGAGAGTCCACTGACGAGACACGTATGCAACTCACTGAAGTCGAAGATCGTCTTGCACGAACACAATTGAGTGCGAAGAAGTATCGGGCCAAACTGGATATTCAAACTCGTTCAAAAGTAGACCGTCTACGCGGGAACCAATATCTCAACAATCGCGTGAATGCCTTGGCTCTGAAGACTCGGATCCGCGATCGATTGCGTCAGCGCAAATTCGAGTTTTCGCGAGTCGACCGCGTATCTCGCACTCATGCATCTCAGTCCTCTCGCAAGTATTCCCTTATGAGAACTGTATTGATCGTCTTACTGGTATTTTACAGAGCGCAAGCTAGGCGCACATGCAACGAACGCGATACAACAACGGGAACCCGGCATACAAGCACTGGCGCGGCGTTATAACACGCTTTGTATAGAGATGTCTGATCTCATCAAACGAGGAGCTGCACCGCCAGGCGCCCAGGCTCCAACTCCCATCGACGTCAAGAGTCTCTGGAACCTTGATGTTGACGATCCCATATGGCATGACACCGGATTGATGGACGAAGACCTCGGTGAGGAAGCATACCCGCGATGGTTCGCAGATGATGCGGTGCGCAAAGGGATACGAGCTATGCTTGAGATTGACCGATGCAATGAAGAGCTCGCACGCTTGAGGAAGGAGAGAACGACGCTGCAGGAATGGCTTCAGGATGAATGGGCTGCAACTGCAGACGCGATCGCACGCCACGGTGCGTGCCTCTTCTGTATAGCCATTACCGTAACTTATATGTTTGCAGCAAGGGAGCCAGGGCTTCGCAACCAGCTTCAACTACGTCAAGACAAACTCCTCCGGCTTGCCGTTACCTGGCGGCGCCGCGTAGGGGATTTCAAGGGGGTTCGCGACTGGGATTCTTCCTGGGGACCCACGGATGAACAGATGGCGCAAGGGATTCAGCACGAACTGCGCGCGTCCATCGGTACTGATCCTATTCCGGGCAGCACTATACAGTTGGATACGAACCTGCACTTCGACTCGGACGATCCAGATGACTTCGAAGACGACGATGGACAGGTCGTTTATCTGGAGGATACATCGGACGCGGACGAGAACGTTGTAGCGATGTTCGAAACGATGGAATCTTTGCATCTTAACGCGCCTGACATCCCCGTTGACGCGTTGTGGCCGTTTATGCCGTCGACTCCGTCTCTGACTTCGGGCCCATCTAGAGCATCATCGCAATCCCCGTGGTCACCTTCGACACCCACGCGAAGTATCCCGGACGCTCGATCCCCGTATTCACCTTCGACACCCATGCGCGGCATTCCGGACGCTCGATCCCCGTATTCACCTTCGACACCCACGCGCGGCATTCCGGACGCTCGTTGGGCCCAGGGGCAGAAAACTTCGGATATGCCATCGCCCCTGCGTTTATCGTATCAAGCCAGGGACAGAACAGTGCAATTTGCAGATGGTACGAGTATCTCCTGCTGCAATCTCGCCATGCTTACACTCATTGAGCAGGCTACCCGCAACAGGAAGATGTTTTCTACACCGTGAGTGGCAACAGACATGATTGATCACTCAAATTGTTAGTTATGTGTCGATACCAATTATACGTGCCCCGTATCGTATGATGAGAGAATCGGAATTACTTAGAAGTCCGTAAATTTACATGGAAAATCTTCACGTAGCACAGAAAATGTTATGTGTCCCGCTCAGTCGAGAAGATGTGTCGGGCATAGTACTGCTACAACCTTCGCCTTCTCCGCCGCAAACAGAGTCGTACCACCTGACGGGGTGCACTGGAGCTACAGTGCCAGCGACTTCGCCCTACGCTGGGATTAGGGCAGTGTCCGCGGTTGAAAACAGGGCCATGCCACCGAACGAGCTGCTCCCACCGGCTTCGCACCCCTACAGTCCCGCTGCGACACTGTACCAGCAGCCCCGGCAACTTTGTCCTACGGTGAGGTCAATGTCGTCTGCGTGGTTGAAAACAGGGGCGTACCACAGAACGTGCTGCTCTATCACCATCCCGCTGCGCCACCCGGGTACCTCCAGTCCCAGCGATTTGGTCCTGCGGCGCAGTATACCACCCCTCTGTCTCACATGGGAGCATGCCTTATCAGCCACATCATCAACTAGAGGAAAATGGACGCACCTTCCATTCCAGTGGTTGAATCCGGTGATTCTATTCATGTGCCGAAGTGGTAGTAAGATACGTGGGTTCGTATATACAGCATCACTGCCGCCGTGTACACTGAAGCGATTGAATTTAAGGCGCCGGTGATGTACTCTGGACATACCAGTCTCGCATGGCGCCAGAACTTCTGGGGCGATCGTAGCCGGATGCTCGCGAAGTGGTCAATTGTCTGAAGAACAGAGCTAAGCAAGACGCAGAGCTTTGAGTGGTGTCATGTGACGTTCCCTGACCACTGATAGGCTGTAATTGCTGTACAATATCATTGGCTCGGTACATGCGTGGATACGGCTGGCGGCGTCCAAGGCTCGCTCGTCATCGTCAAGCAGTTTCCGGCGATGTACTGAATTTCTCAGTGGTTGTTCAGCTGCAGGTCAAGTGGCGCCCTTACAGCCTCACTTGTCCGACTCGTCGCACGTCATCCGTATGTTCTCGTAACCGTCATCCAGATCTCGACCCAGTGTCTCTGTTCCCTCTGCTCATCCCTTTCAGTTCTCACCAGCTCTAGATCTCCTGCTTATCTCGTACTCGAGTTCATGAACATAGAGAAATTGTCATCACTGACATCGTCGACCGTCCGGGTTGCCCGGAGGTAGGCACATACTGACGTGTTTCTGATTGTTTTGATACTCAATAGGGAGACAAATGTTTTACCGTGCGCATGACATGTACCACAATTGCTT